ACTACTGGATCTTCATTCCACCTGTTTCAGGTGCCCTCCTTGTTAACACTGGAGATTTCATGCAGGTATATTTGAAGTTTTTGTGTAACCATGTCCTTAGATCTTAGAACATGCCATGTATAAACTGAACTCCGCTTAAAAGCAGACTAGGTTGAAGAATACATATATATATATATATATATGTTTATGTTATATATGCTCTATGTTTGGGCTCTTCAGCTTTTGACAAACGACAAGTACAAGAGCGTGGAGCACAGAGTGCTTGCGAACAAAGTCGGGCCGAGGATTTCAGTGGCATGCTTCTTCAACACAAGTCTCAATCCGAACCCGAGACTGTACGGACCCATCACAGAGCTTCTGTCCGAAGATAACCCTCCTAGATACCGTGAACTCACCCTCGAAGAGTATAACCGTTTCCGTGCGGAGGAACCGCTGGGTTCTGCCGGAAAAGTGTTGAAGTACTTCGAGATCTAAAACGTTATACAAAATCTAATGGATGTTACGAGTATCTACGCAAGTAATAATGGTCTGGTTTCTCTCTTGATGGAATCGTGACCTTGCATGTATTGAATATTTATATGAATTATGCAAAAAATTATCTTAATTGTGTAAGGTTTTATTTGCAAAAATAAATGTAAGGAAACATGAAATCATTTAACAATTGATATTGAAATATAATTTTGGTGATACCATTGTTCATCAATTCATATTTCCTGTAAATTGTATTATGTTCAGAGAATTATTGATAATAAATACATTTGGTTTTCTCTTTTTTTTTCTTTTGTAATTTATTTAGTTTTCTCTCTTTTTTTTTTTATAAACATAATTCAAATACAGATGATAAATATACTTAACAATTGGTATTGAAATGTAGTTTTGATCACACTAATATTGATCAATAATGTGTTCTCTGAATATTTTGGATAATTTGTTCTCCGTAATGAGATTCTAATTCTAAAGCATTTCCCTTATTGCTCAAGCCACAATATTGTTGCTCCATCATTTCCTTTAAAAAAATCCAATTTTGAAAAGTCAAATATGGTGGCAATGGAGATAGGACGGTATCGTTAATCGGCGACTTTTTTCCATTTAATTTCATGTGGGTTTCATTTGTTTCGTTATTTTCTATATTCATGTGCAAATAGTTTTTATTTTAATTTTTTGTTATTTTTTCTCTTTTAATTGGAGAAAATAAATACTCATAAACATGGGAAAAAACTCTCTAAAAATACCAAACTATAACTTTTAATTTATTTTTTTTAACTCTTCTTCAGATTTTTTTTCTTTCTTCCGTGTTTATTGTTTTGTTTTGTGATTATTTTTCTCCCCACCATACTCTTAATATAGGCAGATGAATATAGAAAATAACGGAACAAATGGAACCACCATGCTTTGGGTTGAATGCAGTGAATTTTTAGAATAAAAAAATCAAAACTGTTGACAATTAAGATTTTATAAATTTAGTTTTTCTTAAAATTTAGAAAACTAGTTTGTAAAAAAAATGAACTACAAATCAAAAGTTCACTGTTTTAGATTTACAAATATTACAAAAACCAAAAACTAAAAACCAAAAGATAAAATCTAAAAATATAAGAATTATCATTATTTTCTCTTTATATGGAAAGTCTATATATATCAAAGCATTTATTTTCTCCAATTAAAGGAGAGAATTGTCGTTGTTTTCTCTTTATATTTAAGAGAAGTGTCATAATTTCTTGTAAGTCTATAAATATCATTCTACTGTTTGTCTGGACGTAAGCATTTTGTCAAGCCACGTAGATATCTGGGGTTCTATTATTTTATTTTCTCGTCTTAATTTAGTTGTTTAATAATAATTTATCTATATCTGATCGTAACGATGGTATTAAAGGTGATGATATTATACTGGTTGTTCATACAATGGTTTGATTAATTAGTGGTATAAATGTTATAAAATGTCAACTAAATATATGAGATAGAGAAGTTTAATGAGAGTAATTTCTCGATATGGACAAACAAAAACAATGGCAATTTCGATGAAAGAGAGTTGTTTGGTGGACATCAGAGAAAGACCAGATGAGATGGACGATGAGCAACGAAACAAAATAAAGGTGATCGTATTATACTGGTTATTCATTGACGGTTGAAACACCCGGTGAAAGGGTGTATGTGAGAATATACATAACCGTAGGATATAACCATTGTATTGGTTGTGTCTCTTGCATAAACACCACTTGAATCCTATAAAAGTATAGGTTCTATATGACAAATATAGGCAAAAACACCAGAAAAGGAAACGCGAGTTATCAGTTTTGGTGAGTGGCATTTGGATTGTGAATCTGCTGTTCCGACTCTAGTAGCCGGTTTCCGACCATCGTCCAAAGAATTAGAAGACTATGATTTCAACCAAGGAAAAGATCGACAGAATCGATACGTAACTACACTTCCGTATTCTTACATTGGTATCAGAGCGTGAGTGGTTGATTTTCTGTCTTCATTGGATTTTGTGTTTCTGCTTCTGTTCTCTGTCTTCGTTCGTTTTGTGTTTGAGTCTCGATTCTCGTCTGTCTTCGTTTATGCATCTGTCGTCAATGAGAGATTCATGAATCTCGTCGGATTATGATGAGGATTCGAGACCCGTCTCTCTTTCGCTATGTTCATCGTTTTTTTTCAATGATTGCTGGTGAGATGTTGACTGAGTGGCGGGGAGTGGACATGAGATAGACAGAAAAGAGAAAGAAGACGACACGGGTTTTTTCAGAAACCCTAAATTTCATTTTTTAAAGTTGGGTCTGCGATATGTTAATAAGATTATTGTTACAATTTTTTTAAAATAAATTTTAATGGGCCGATACTTCATTCTTAATGGGCTGCATGTTGCAATTAAAAAAAAACGTGGAAATTGTACTCCGAAATATACACTTGCATTTAGAAAAGTAATATGTGCATAATATATATATATATATATAAAATAAAGAAGTTAAATAAAATAAAAGTACGCATGTTTGACTGACGCATATATGGCTAGCATGCAAATAATACTAACAGTATACCTTTGAATAAAC